TGTTCTACCTCCTAATTCACTGCGCAGTGCCTGTGGTCTTAAAATCTTGCAAGTGACTATCCAAGGCATAATGATTGGTGTCTATTCACCTGGAGCCACAGCGGAAGAAGGACAGTCAGGAATAGGAGGAGGATATGGAATGTGTGGCCAATTGCCTCCGTGAACAACTGCCTCCTTTGTCATGAGACCAGAAGAACTAGCTGGTGCCCAGCTACCATTACTGAACATTTTGATAAAGGATTCTATAGAGGAATCCTGATCAAAAGAGGGAAATGCAGAACAGAATTTCAAATTCTCATGGACTCTAGACTTTCTGGAGCCATGGAGGGTGGATGAACTCCTGCAACTATTGCTCTGAGATAATCTTTAAACCTTAAACCAAAAAAACCCCCAGAAATCACCTTAAAACCGAACAACAGTTTAACTTAATTAGTAAAAAAAAGTCTGCCTTGACCATTATATTCTTTTAAGAACTATCTATACAGGATCAAATTGACAACAGCAACTCAAAAGATTAGATAGGAATCTTAGGGGTCAATGAGTTTATGTTAATAACGGAGAAACAACTCGGAAAGCGAGGGTGAGAATGGTTGCACAACTCAAAGGATGTAATCAATGTCACTAAATTGCACATGTAGAAACTGTTGAATTGATGGATGTTTTGCTGTGTATATTCTCAACTAGAACAACAAAATAAATAAAATTTAGAAGGAAAAAAATACATAGTTTGGGGGGACATGTAGGTCAATTGGCATAACGTAATTTATAAAGAAAATGTTCTACATTCCACTTTGATAAGTAGCGTCTGGGGTCGTAAAAGCTTTTGAGTGGCCATCTAGGATACATCTGTTGGTCCCATCCTATTCAGAGCAAAGGAGAATGAAGAAAATCAAAGACACAAGGAAAATACTAGCTGAAAGGACTAAAGGACCAAATAAACCAGAGACTCCACCAGCCTGAGACCAGAAGAACTAGCTGGTGCCTGGCTACCACCAATGACCACCCTGACAGGGAACACAACAGAGAGTCCTGGACAGAGCAGGAGAAAAATGTGGAACAGAATTCAAATTCATGTAAAAAGTCCAGACTTAATGGTCTGACAGAGACTGGAGGAACCCCCAAAACTATGGCCTCCGGACGCTCTGTTAACCCAGGACTGAAACCATTCTGAAGCCCACTCTTCAGACAAAGATTAAATGGGCCTATAATACACATGAGGAACGTGCTTCTTAGTTCAATCAAATATACAGGCCCAAATGGGCAGCTCCTGTCTCAAAGCAGGATGAGAAGGCAGGAAGGGACAGGAACTGGATGAATGGACACAGGGAACTCAGAGTGGAAAGCAGGAGTGTGCTGTCACATTGTGGGGACCACAACCAACGTCACAAAACAATATGTGTATAAATTTTTTAATGAGAAATTAACTTGAGTGTCAACTTTCACCTAAACCACAATTTAAAAAAAAAGATTGTGTAGCCACCTCCTTGGTGTAAATTTTAGGACATGTATCCTTAGTTTCTACAACAGAATTTTCCAAATCTTTAAGTTTTGTTCTTATTATGCACAGTTCATTTTTAAGTCCATCTCTTTGCTCTTGCATTTTACTATAAGCAGCAAGGAGAAACCACGCAGCCCCTTTAAGATCTTGCTTAGAAATCTCCTCAGCCAGATATCCAAGTACATCACTTACAACTTCTACCTTCCACCAAACATCTGAACATAATTCAGACAAGTTTTTTTGCCATTGCATAAAAAGCATCACCTTTCTTCCATTGTCCAATCACATGTTCATCATCTTCTTTTAAAGCCTCGCCAAAAGCACATCAATGTCCACATTTCCAGCAACATTATGTCGCTGCCACCATATGTATTCTCTAAGACGACAGAGACTTTCTCTATAGCTCTCTCACTTCCTTCTGAGATCTCATCAGAACAGCCTTTGACATTCATAATTCTACCAATAGTCTCTTCAAAGCACTCTAGGCTTTTACTATTTAAAAAAAAAAAAAATTGCCATCAAGTCGATTCCAACTCATAGCAACCCTATAGGACAGAGTAGAATTGCCCCATAGGGTTTCTAAGGAGTGGCTGGTGAATTTGAACTGCTGACCTTTTGGTGAGCAGCCGTAGCTCTTAACTACTGTGCCACCAGGACTCCAAGGCTTTTACTATTAGGCACCTTAACACGCTTCTAGCCTTTACTCATTACCCAATTCCAAAACCATGTCCATATTTTAGATATCTCTTACAGCAGCAACCCACTCCCAGTACCAAATTCTGTCTTAGTTATCTAATGATGCTATAACAGAAATACCATAAATAGGTGGCTTTAACAAACAGAAATTTATTTTCTCACAGTTTAGGAGGCTTAAAGTCCAAATTCAGGGTGCCGGCTCTAGGGGAAGTCTTTCTCTGTTAGCTATGGAGGAAGGTCCTTGTCTCTTCAGCTTCTGCTTCCTGGGTTCTTGGAGATCTCCATGTGGCTTGGCATCTCTCTTCCCCCATCTCTGCTTGCTAGCTTGCGTTTAATCTCTTTTATATCTCAAGAGAGACTGTTTCAAGATACACCCTATACTAATGCTACCTCATTAACATAACAAAGACAACCCATTCCCAAATGGGATTATAACCACAGGCATAGAGGTCAGGATTTACAATACATATTTGGTGGGGGGAGGGCCCAATTCAATCCATAACAATGCACAATGTTAATTCTTTAGTTATATTTTCCTGTCAAATTAAAAGTGATACACTACTATCAAAAAATCCAAAATGGTTTAAATGTGATATCACCTACAAATGCTGAGTCTCTAACCAGAACTATTTATTTGTAGCCTCTTAATGCAACTGAAATTAACTTTAAGATAATCATGTTCAGGCCTTCCTATTGGCCCATGGCTTTTGCAATTTCAAAGCAAAAGTTGCTTTTCCTATGGTATAAATCTTGCCTATTATAATTAAATGTCATTTTTATGAATACTCTCTTAAAAAGTATGAAGAAATCACCAGTTGTCTCACAATGCTATTTCAAGATACCAGGTTATTCTATCTTAGTAATTTGATCTTAGTTCCCATACTGACAACTGTTTCCAGTCATCCTAAATGTACTATCTTTTCATTCAGCCCCTAACCAAGAAAAACCCTTTCCTAAACGTAAAAAGGCTCAAAACATTATTCTTAACATTTTAAACTGTTAAGTATAAATTTATGTGCTCATCTAGCATAACCTATTTAATTTAGCTAGAATGATTACCATTTATTCTAATTTAATACTCATACTTATTCTCATCTACCAAATCTAAGAGTTATTCATCAAACAATATCTTTCACTCCTGGTAATCAAAACCCAACAAATACATAACATCTTCTCTTTTGAAAAGCATTCTTTAGAGACCATAAGATCTAAATGTTTCCTTTCCACACACTTTTAATGTTATGTTTTTTAACTTACTGAATTCATATTCTAAGTACCGCAAATAGAAAAAAAAAATTCAAAGGCAGAATAAAAGTAATCTGAGTATATGAATTTCTATCCAAACCCAAACCCAAACCCACTGCCATCAAGTCAATTCCGACTCATAGTGACCCTGCAGTACAGAGTAGAACTATCCCATAGGGTTTCGAAGGCTGCAAATCTTTACGGAAGCAGACTGTCACTTGTTTCTCCAATGAAGCAGCTGGTAGGTTTGAACCATGGACCTTTCAGTTAGCAGGCAAGTGCTCTAAACACTGCACTACAAGGGTCCCTATAAATCTCTATACCTCTATTAAAATCTTTTTAAGCTTTATTTTTTTCTACTAAAGCCATTATTGTAAGGAATGTCTAAAATAAAACCAAAGCCTATTGATGAAGAGTAAGACAGTACACAATACTGGAGAAGCCAGCACAACTTGTACAAGGAAGCTCCACAGACACATCCAAACTCCCTGAGGGACCAGATTGCTAGGCTGAGGGCTGTGGGTACCATGGTCTCAGGGAATATCTATGTCAATTGGCATAACATAGTTTATAAAGAAAATGTTCTACATTCTACTTTGGTGAGTAGCATCTGGGGTCTTAAAAACTATGAGCGGCCATCTAAGATACTCCACTGGTCTCACCCCTTCGGGAGCAAGGCAGAATGAAGAAAACTAAAGACATAAAGGAAAGATTAGTCCAAAGGACTAATGGACCACAATTACCATGACCTCCACCAGACTGAGTCCAGTACAACTAAATGGTGCCTGGCTACCACCACTGAACGCTCTGACAGGGATCACAATAGAGGCTCCTGGACAGAGCTGGAGAAAAATGGAGAACAAAATTCTAACTCACAAAAAAAGACCAGATTTACAGAGACTGGAGAAATCCTGAGAGTATGGCCCCCAGACACCCTTTTAGCTCAGTAATGAAGTCACTTCTGAGGTTCACCCTTCATCCAAAGATTAAACAGGCCCATAAAACAAAATGAGACTAAAGGGGCACAACAGTCCAGGGGCAAGGACTAGAAGGCAGGAGCGGACAGGAAAAGCTGGTAATAGGGAACCCAAGGTCGAGAAGGGAGTGTTGACATGTCGTGAAATTGTTAACCAATGTCATAAAACAATACGTGTACCAACTGTTTAATGAGAAGCTAGTTCTGTAAACCTTCATCTAAAGTACAATTAAAAAAAAAGATAAATAAATAAAACCAAAGCCTAATCAAAGCACACATCATTTTCACAAATCTATATCAAAGATTATACCATAAATCTGCTTGACATTTACAATTCAAGAAACATCTTAATTCAGAACATTGTAAAACATGTTCAAAGAGATACATATCAAAATCAGACAATCCCAAAATTTGCAAATCAGGAAAACTATTTTTAGTCCATATTAAAATCTGAAGTCATACTGAATGTTTTCTACTTGATGAAATACTAAATTCAATGATGATGAAAACTATTAAAGCATACGTATAATATTTAATAATATAATAATATTTAATAATATTTAAACACTTAAACTTATTTCTTACTGATGGTACTCGCTTTCTTCTAACTTCATTCTCAGCTGACATAAGAAGTAACTCAAGTTCCTTTATTTTCTTTTCCTTATCAGGATCTTCATCAACAAAGGGTTGCTAAAATAAGTTAAATAAGAGAGAAAAACAGGCTACTTAAATAATTACTTTATTATTATTAAATTTCTAACTTTTTTTTCTTCTATGCAATGTGAAACAATTTTCTCTAATAAGATTTACTAATACTAAATTACAAATATTCAATATCACAATCCATCTGTTATTTAAAGAGGTGTTGACAAATATTTTCAACAAAGCTGAAAAGATTTTTAAAAATTTAAATGCATAAGATAAACATATCTCTATCAGTTTAAAAATGTTTGTTTGAAGTAAATTTCAGTTTATTCAATCTTAATACATACATTCTATCCAATTTAGCAAAAAGATGTCCATTCACAATTTGAATGCTTCAAGTTGAAAGAATGAAAGGACCACCATACTGGGGTTTTCAACCACCTTACATTTGTAGAGTTCATATTTTTCAAACTCACACACTTTCTCCTTTAATGCTATAATACTCAAAGAAAATACAACAGATAGTACTGTTTTTGCTCTAGTTTTACAGAAGAGGAAACAGGCACTATTAGACTTTCAAAAATATGTTTAAAAGCATTTCCTTTATTTTTATTTTGTTATATATAAAAAGTTACCTGAATAAAGGCAGAAGATGTCTGAACATGTTCTACACAATTGCCTTCAGGTGACACATACTGATAGCCCGGGATCTAAAAGCAATTAAATAATTAATATCTTACACATACACTATATACATTTCTTAAATCGGAGGCAAACCACAAAAGTTTTTGGCAAAATATCAACATTAAAAAATTTATAAAGTACCTTTACTACCTTTGAAAATTCATATCTACATTAGTTTGTTATCTATTAACTACACTTCTGTTCTTAGACTCTTATTAAAAATATTAAAACCATCTGATCTGAACTGACTTACTCACCAAATGGCAATACAATTGAAAATCAAAATGTAAGTTAGATCTAATCTTTCCTCCAAGTTTGGAGTACAAAATACATTAATTTAATTTGGGATCTCAAATCTCAAGTCCTTAAAATGCCATGTTCTTAAGTCATACTGTTGTTGTGTCCATTCTGACTCACAGTGACGCTGTATGACACAGTAGAACTACCCCATAGGGTTTCCAAGGCTGTAATGTTTGCAGAAGCAGACTGTCACATCTTTCTTCCATGGAGCGGCTGGTGAGTTCAAACCTCCAACCTTTCAGTAAGCAGTCAAGCACTTAACCACTGTGCCGCCATGGTTTCTTACTTCCTATAGAACTTAATTTTTTTCAGTATATGATTTAGTATCATTTATTGCTCAACTTAAGGATCCCTGGTGGTACAGTGGTTGAAGAGCTCAGCTGCTAACCGAAATGTCCGTGGTTCAAACCCACCAGCCGCTCCATAGAAAATATGGCAGTCTGCTTCTGTGAAGATTTACAGCCTTGGAACTCTATGGGGGCAGTTTCTACTCTGTCTTACAGAGTCACTATGAGTCAGAATCAACTCGATGGAACTCGGTTTTTTTTGTTTTTTATTACTCAATTTGGTAATTCCAATGGACTAGAAACTTATCTTTCTCAAAGTTTTCATAAAAATCTATCACAGTATTTCAAGCTGATCCATTTTTTTCTTTCAAGTGTCACTTTATAATAAAACTAGAATTAACTTCTTAATACTATAAATGAATTGAACTATGAATACAAAAGTCTTTCCAAAAAGCATTAAAAGTAGGGTCAATGATTCTTAAAGTACAAGAAATGTCCTTATCTTTCTAAAATGGAACATGCTTTGGTTGAGACTGTTAAAACACTCCCTTGATCCCAAATAATGTTTAAAATTATCTATGAGTAAAATAAATAAACAAATTTAAATGAGAAGCTTTCTAAGATAGAAGCATATTTTAATTTATGCTGCTGAAACCTAGGACTCTGAAGAAAAATGTAAAGAAATAATGTTAAATCTTAACGTATTGAATATCACCAGATAACTATACTGTCTTCACATTTTCCTATTTGTAAAGTAAGACGTCACTACTTTTTAAGGTGGTTCTTTTAAAATTATGCCTGAAGAACTTAATAATGACCATTTAATGGAAAAAAATCAAATGTGAGGCATAGTAAGCACAGATTTTTAACACCTAACCAAATTTCATCTTTTAGTAGATATTATTAAAAGTCCTGGCTTAATTTTACATTTTATGTGACAAGGACCAAAGATTGCTGAAGGTAAAAAATAGCATGACGGGCAGATGGGGAAATGTAAAACAAACCTTACGAAAACTCTTAAACTAATTTCTTGCAGGTTGTACCTTTAGGGATAACACAGATTTCACCTCAGAATGCTCCTTAGAAGGGAGGATGCTGAGACTCTGTCTCACATACTTTGGACATGTTATCAGGAGGGACCAGTCCCTGGAGAAGGACATCATGTTTGGTAAGGGAGAGGGTCAGCGAAAAAGAGGCAGACCCTTAACAAGATGGACTGACACAGTGGCTGCAACAATGGACTCAAACATAGCAACGACTGTGAGGATGGCGCAGGACCGGGCAGTGTTTCGTTCTGTTGTACACTGGTCACTAAGAGTCAGAACAGACTCGACGGCACCTAACAACAACTACTTTAATGAACCAGTCTAAACAAAGACTGACATTAGCCAACTGATCGATTACTGGGGGAAAAGCAAAGCTGAATGCTGTTAAAAGAACCAATTATTTATCACACCGCCAAAACGGTGACTTGAGTAATTCTGTTTTCCCTTTTAAATCATTTTATAAATACCTACCTCTCAGAGATAAGCAATACTACAATTAGACACACATACAAAAAAACAATTTAATGAAAACTACAAAAGAGGGTATTAAAGCACAGATGACTATTAATTTTGAATCGTAAATGAAAATTCAAATTATTATTATTAGGATATGTACATACTAAGTTTCTTAAGTAGATTATGCAAAAATTACATATAACAGGAAACATTTTAATGAGTTTGTTACCAAAATATTTATCAATCAAAACAAATGGAGATAAAACTCCACTTATAATTTAACAGCTAGTTATGGGATATTTTTTCAGTTAGGGAATTTAAATACCTATTTCCCTCTTAATATAAGTTCTGCCTATCCTATTAAGAAGCCAAACTTTCCCATACAGCAACTAAAGAAATTTTTAAAATAATAAAGGTATTAAAAGTATGTGCCTGAACAGGTATGTAAAACTGATTCTGGGTTTGCAAATGATCCATAGCCGCACAAGGTTTGTGTTGAAGCTTAGATGAAGATCGTTCTGATTTTATTCCATCTTGTAAGTAGCCCTCTTGTTCCACTTTTCTTCGCATAGTAGAATTCCAATGATTTTTGATAGAATTATCAGTCCTATGAAGTAAAAGTGGATAATTTAAAAAGAAAGATATTCCACAAATTTTAACACCATGTAAATTTCTACAATTGGTGAAATTAGATGCTTTTTTTGAATTCAAAAGATAAAACATTTAACTCCAAAACTAAAATTAAAAACAAACTAAAACTGTGTCAACAGCAACTCAAAAGATTAGATAGAAAACTTAGGAAGCAGTGAGTTTATGTTAATGGAGGAGGAATAACTCAGAAAAGGGTGAGAATGGTTATACAACTTGAAGAATGTAATTGGTGTCACTGAATTGTACATGTAGAAAACTGTTGAACTGGTGTATGTTTTGCTGTGTATATTCTCAACAGCAAAATAAATAAAATTTTTAAAAAACATATTGAAAGTTTAAGTTTTACTTGAAGTAAATCACACAGTCATTCATTTATTTAAGTAAGTGTCTACACATGCCAAGCACAGTTCCTAGCACTGGAGATACAGCAGTTAAGAAAGTCCCTGCTCTCATGCAGCTTACGTTCTAGCTGGAAGTAGTGCAGCGGGGCAGGGGAGAAGAACAAACAAACAAGCAAATAAAAATATCAGTGCAACAACTAATTTTAATAGGATAAGTAAGTGTCTAGGGTAATCTTGATTAGGTGGATCAGGGAAGTCCTCTCTGAGAAGGTGACAGTGAAACTAAGATCTGAATGACAAGAAAGAACCAGTCATACAAGAACAGGAACAAAGCATTCCAGATAGAGTACAGTGAGGGCAAAGGTCTAAGCCAGGAGTAAGCATGGTCATGAAAAACAAACCACAATTTACAGACTCCCAGTATCTTTTTCACTTCTTAGAACAAAATACCTATGGGAAAAAAAGAGATCATCGGCCTCTCATTTTACCTAAGGTTCCCTTTATAAAACTGACAATCTTTAACCTACAGTTACTTGTAGTGTAAATTCCATCCTTCATAAAATCTATGAGCATTTACTGAAAACCTACTTCGTGTTAAGGCACTAAGCTAGGCTCTATAAAAGGTAAAAAGATGTGTAAGAGACTGAAAACATCAGCAATCCCCAGACCAGGTTTAGTAAATCAGATAAAAAAATTAACACTATGCCTTAGTTTCCTTGTCTATAAAAAAGAACAGCAATTTTTGCTCTACCTATTTCACAAATATATGAAGATTAATTAGAATATATGTAAAAGCACTTTACAAACGATGAAGTACTATACAGATAGAGATTACAGAAATAATTCATATATTGTGATGGAGGTACGGATTTTCCTGATGCTGTTGGTCTATTGGGTAAAATTTGAACCGGTGCAAAGAATAGTACACTTAGCACATAACTGCCTCTGAGGGAAATTCCATTTTTTAGCCACATGGATATATATACGTGTGTGTGTATGTGTGTGTGTGTCTGTGTGTATATATATATATATATACTACTCCCGTGGTTTGAATCATATCATAATTAATTAAGAATTGAATTTTTCCTAAAGCACTTTCATAGTAGTTTACTTCAGTCAGCATATGTGTTAATTCTCTTGTCTTATGCATAGAATTCAATACAAAAGAAATCTCTTAGATTTAAATTCCATTCCAGTTGAGCTTGTCCATACACTTCCTGACTAGGACTCGTACGTAAACATGATTTTGAGAGTGTATTAGATAGATTAAAAGCAGATCTAAAGGTATATCATTTTATTGCCATAAAAAGTTTCATTTAAAAAGTAATTATATACCCCTTAGCACCGAATTTATTACAAAGTCTCACAGATTGCTTGTATTCAATTTTAATTCCAAACAATATATGCCATGAGGTACTTGTAAATATATTTAACAGAAATGTAATAAAGATCACATTTAAATACAGAAAAATGTATCTACATTTAAATAAGCACCTTCCAGGAAGTAGTTTGGCAATTTCTGCCCAACGATTTCCCAACCGCTTATGCGCTTCATAGATTATCCTGTCCTCCTCTTCTGTCCAGGAAGATTTCTTTACCTCAGGATTCAGATGGTTATGCCATCTTTCTCTACACTGCTTGCCTATTCTTCCTTTTAAATGTTTTGCAATTAAAGACCATCTTTTTGGTCCATATTTCTGAACTAATTCAATAACCTAAAAAAAAAAAATACAATAAATTTTTTAAAATTTATAAGCTGATACGCCTATAAAAAAAAAAAAAAAAGTTTAAAAAAAAGCAGTACCTTGACAGAATTTAAAAACATAACTCAAGAATACCATTTTAAATAAATGCATTAAATCAAAATCACAACTACAACTTACAAAAAAAACTTACTAACGAATACTCCTTCAGCATTTGCCAAGTTCAAAAATTGATTTCAAACTTATCTAAAATATAAAAAGGACTTAAAATGACTTGTAAGTTGAACTGCTTTCATAGAAAATTAATTTGAAATAACAGTAAAAGCACTGAGACTTGCACATCTACAGAGAGCTACTGGTTTTTCATTTCTCCCTTTCTCAAACTGGAAAGATACAGATCACACATTTTAAAACTTACTATAGGCCATCAAGCAAATCAGACAAGCACTGAACATTATTTTGGTGGCTTTGAGCTACAGTAAAAAAAAAAAAAAAACCCAAAACCAAACCCATTATTACTGAGTCAATTTCAACTCAAATAGTGTCCCCATGTATGACAGAAAAGACTGTTCCATAGGGTTTTCTTGGCTGTAATCTTTATGGAGCAGATCGCCAGGGCCTTTCTTCTGCAGTGCCACTGGATGGGCCTGAACCATCAACCTTTAGGTTAGCAGTCGAGCACAAAGCATTTGTGCTACCCAAGACCTTGAGTGGCAGTAAGGACACTCTAATTCTCCAACTATATTAACAACTTTTATGCCATAAAGGGCATGAACTAAAGGGTAATTCCTAGTACAGAGCAAAAATTCTCCCATTCTTTTCAGATTTTTATAGTACAAATAATTGCCTTGTTTTTTAAGTCAGCAAACCCTTTGGAAAGATGATGCTTTGATATGCATCTTATTTGGGGGCCCATTTTAGTCAAGAGGAAAAATAAAGAGTGGCTTCTCTACATATCAAGTTCTTACATGTAAAAATATAAGTTATCAGATGTAAAAATAAATCTAAAATCCCTTTTTAAAAAGTCAATTCAATTTTTGACAGGAAAATATACCTTAAATGTTGCCAATCTAAGCTCTAAGCAAAGGTGACTAAGCTGATAGCAGGTATTTTTCCTTCTGCAAACCAAACTCTCAGAAAGAAAGAGCTATACATATTATACTTGCTTTAATTAAAAAAAAAACTACATTTCAAGACACCCACTATTTAATTCTTATGCAAGTAGTCGCCAGAAAACAAAATCAAAGTGATTTAAACGTATAATTTAAGTGTCAAAACAATATGTTAAGAAAAAAAGCTAGTCCATCAACTTGGTGAAAATAAAAATATGAACATGTTACCCTCTGATCTTCTTCTTTAGTCCAGGGACCCTTTATCAATTCTGGATTTAAAACTTTCTGCCATCGATGCTGGCATTGAAAATCAGAACGATTCTGAAAGAATTTAGATAATTTAGTTATTGAATAACTGTCTTTCAGATAGCAAGAAAGCCCAAACTTAATGTCTCATAACCTTAAGAACCAAGCAAGAATAGCACAATCACAGCCTCCACCAGACTGAGTCCAGCACAACTAGATGGTGCCCGGCTACCACCACTGACTGCTCCGACAGGGATCACAATAGAGGGTCCCAGACAGAGCTGGAGAAAAATGGAGAACAAAATTCTAACTCACAAAAAAAAAAGACCAGACTTACTGGTCTGACAGAGACTGGAAAAACCCCAAGCGTATGGCCCTCGGACACCGTTTTAACTCAGTACTGAAGTCACTCCTGATTGAGATTCACCCTTCAGCCAAAGATTAGTCAGGCCCATAAAACAAAACAAGACTAAATGTGCACACCAGCTCAGGGGCAAGGATGAGAAGGCAGGAGAGGACAGGAAAGCTGGTAATGGGGAACCCAAGGTCGAGAAGGGAAGAGTGTTGACATGTCGTGGGGGTGACAATCAATGTCACAAAACAATCTGTGTATTAATTGTTTAATGAGACACTAGTTCACTCTGTAAACCTACATCTAAAGTACAATAAAAAAATTAAAAATTTTAATGTCACTGAACAATTTGTATGGAAATTGTCAAATGGAAACCTAACTTGTGGTGTAAACTTTCGCAAAAAAAAAAACAAAACAAAACACACAATAAAGTAGTATTAAAAAAAAAAAGAATAGTGCAATCATTCAACAGCATCCTTTAAATATGTAATACTGATTTTACATGCCTGGGCGCCAGTTCTTTTTTTTTTTTTACAGTCATCAGCAGTGCTTAGACAACAAATAAAAACAAAACATATTTGAAATTAAAGTGTCTATCTCTAGTCTACGTCTTATGATACAGCAAGAAGCAAAGCCATGACACAAACACCGCCATAAATAAATGGAGCCAGGATTGAGAAATAAGCATGAATAGACAGAAAATTATAAAAAGCAGACATACGAACTCAAATAGCACAGCAGTCTGGATTCATAACAGCAGAGCATTACATAACTCTATACAATTAAAAAAGCCCCCCAAAGGCATTATCAGACTACTAAAAAAAAAACAAAAACAAAAAAACCAAACCTGTTGCCATTGAGTCTATTCCAATTCATAGCGACCCTATAGGACAGAGTAGAACTGCCCCACAGGGTTTCCAAGGAGTGCCTGATGAATTCGAACTGCCGATCTTTTGCTTAGCAGCCGTACCCAAGGTATTAAAAGGACATTTAAAAAATGATGTCCCACCAAATTATCAAGAAAATGTTAAATATATCTATACAGAAATGTGCAGTATGTTTCAATTAATTTATTTAAGTGTCAAAGTTTAAAAGGAAAATGAGTTTACCAGGATAAGAAAAACCTGAGGGAAACATTTCAAACCCCCAAAAATTAATAATTGAAGCCTCAATTTAGTTATTTTGTTATCTGCTAACTCCTACTTAGTATAAGGTCATGTCATTAATGATTCACAATTTACACAGATATTAGTGCCTGCACAGGACTACAGATAATCTAGACAGATATAAAGAGATAGATGCAATTACTTTGTCAACCAATGGCTCCGTTTTTGTGCCCAATGAAATTCAAATTACTTTTATTTGCACGGAGCTTCTTCCTTTATGGCTTCTGTACATCAATGCCGATCCATTCTAAGACTATCACTGTCTTCCAAAAATGTTCTCGGAGCATTTCTCTGTTTACCTCATTTGCTTTATACCACTGAAGTTACACTGACAAAGTTAATGTAAATAATTTTTCTAATAATTATTTAGCTTCTATTTATTGAACATCTGCTAATTGTCAGGAACTGTACCAAGTATCCCATGTTATTTCCAATTCTCACAATACTACAAACAAGTTCTATTATCTATATACCATTACCTACATACCATAAACAAAGAAGTTGAAGGTCAAAGAGGTCAAGTAATTTTCCCAAGACCAAAGAGCTAGTAGTACTGACATCTGAACAAAATTCAGATTGACTCCCAAACCTATGCTCTCTCCATTATTTGGTCCTGCTTTTCAGGGTATGTTGAGAAGCATTTATGAAAATATGGAAAGAACACAGATGGTGACCTGGTTTTTGAAACCCAAAGAAGTCAACATCAAAATCCAAATATGAATATTTTGTCTAACTACCAATAGTGCAGTAAGAACAAACAAGAGTATGTGAGATAATACTTTGTAAATTATAAAATTACATTAAAATGAATAGTATGTGAATAATGGTATAGTGAACAGTAATTATAATTTTTTTAAAAATCAATAACACTTTAAAATGTACGCTTTACATGATACACTTTTTTAAACAGAGCTTTTTCTGATCTGGCAGTTATTGGTTAGCTTTTAAAATATTTCAATTATTTCCAACTTCTTTCAAAATATTTCAATATATATCAGCAAATATTTATAAAGCCCTACTCAAACATAACACGTCATTTTTGCTTTAGATTAGTAATCTTGTTAGGCCTCTGGATAAACATATTACTAGAAAATTAAGACTTTCTAAGCCATTAGCAACTACAGGCAGATGAGAACAATAGATATGCTTTTAGGAAGGAAATCTAAATCTAAAATATGTAAACACATTTTTAAAAAACAGCAAATTTAACCCAATGGCCTAAATCCGCCATGTTAGAAATATAAGATAATGTTTCACTTACTTGAAGATGACTAGCAATTAGAGTCCAGTCATCAGTTCCATGCTGTTCAACCAACTTCTTTAACTTATCATCCTATTATGACAGGTATGAAAATTAGAAAGCTTTCCCCACACCCCATTCCTCTTCCCCCAAATATATACACCTCCCCAATTCTATCATGTCACATATGATGGCCATTTTTAGAAGGATGGAAACAACTATGACACAAGTTCCCTCCGTTAACTATCCTGTCTTTGTCAGGGCCAACATCAACCTGCCATTCATGTCTCTGGTTGAAGAAAAAGAAAGTGCAAGTTGGTGATGGATAACTTTCCTGATGTTTCGTTTTTAAATGTACAGTACTATTAACCAATAAAAATATGCAGGAAATTAGTAAACTCTATGGAATAATTACCTCATCTCTTGTCCATTTTACTCTGTTCCAGAGTTTTTTCAATCCTTTTTGCTGTGGTACTTCATAATCATGATCAGCATACTGAAGGTCATCATCCTCATCCTCACTATTAAAAAAAAAACACACACACACACAATTCATGAAATCAAGAATTTTATTTTTTATTTTTTAGTTCAATTATTGAACCTATCTGCATGTATAGGTATGAATGAAGAAACTATTCAGACTAAATGGCAATAATCCAATTTGATTATTCAAAGCATAAAAAATTAGGAGTCACACAATGGGAAGGAGCCATAATTCTCACTGACCTTAGAAAGAGGAGGCTGGATATGTCACCAAGGGACAAATCATAACCTTGTCACATATCCTAAGGGATATGACCTTTATTCTAAAGCTACAAAGAGTTTAAGTATTTTAAGTAAAGGAATGAAAGATGAAATTTGATTTGTGTTTTAGAAAAATCACTGGCAGGAGTATGGAGAATTGGAGGAAGGAGAACCAATCAGGAATCTTTAACAATAATCCAAGTAAGAAATTATTAGGACCTGACAAATGGTAAAGGTAAAATACAAATCACAATCAACTGAAGATACACTAGAAGAAATGATCCATTAGCAAGTCAAAATATCTAGAACTAATAAAGTACAAGATCAAAATATAGTAAATAACAAAATACTAATATGAGACACAAAAGACTTGAACAAATGGAAAAACATTCAATCTTGGATAAGAAAACAATATTATAGAGATGTCTATTCTCCCTAAATTAATTCATAAATTTAAATTAAGTAAAAATATCCATAGACTTTGGGAGAGAATTAGACAAGCTGATTTTACAGTTCATATGAAAAAATAAACAAGCAATAATAGCCAGAAAAGTTCTAAAAACAATGGGGGTATTAGCACTACCCAATAGTCAAATGTATGGTAGAGCAATAAGAAATAAAACAGAATGGTACTGGTGCACGAACTGACACACAAATCAATGGAACAGAACATTCAGAAAAAAAGTCAAAACCCATATGAGAATTTGACAAGTAATAACAGCAGAATTTCAAATCAGTGGGATAAAGATAATTTTTCAATAAATAGTGTTAAGACACTAAGTATTCACTTACAAAAACAGTTAGATACGTAGTTTACAACAAAATAAATTCAACTGGTGCATATATATATTTTTAAAAAGAAATCGTAACGGTACTATAAGAATACTGGGGAGAATTTTATGTTTTATATCCTTGGGTAAGAGAGATCTAAATGTGACACAAATCCAGAAACCATAACAGAATAGACCAACTAAGGCAATGCTAGTAGGAATGGAAGGAAGTATACGGATCACACTTAAAAAGGAAGAAATAAATGGATGTTGCAACAGATGGAGGAATCAAGGATGACTCCAAAGTTTCTGGCTTTGAGAGCATTAAGTACAGCTATTCTATTCACTGAGATAAGGAAGAGAAGACAGAATTTTAGGAGAAAGAAAGGAATGGGGAGAGTAAGTACAGTTTTGAACTAGCTGACTTCAAGGTACTTCAAAAAATATATATTTCTTTATATATTCCAATAGAAAAATAATACACAACCCACAAGTGTAATTTTAAATTTTCTGGTAGCCACATTAAAAAAAATAAAAGCAGGTGAAATTAATTTTAATAATATACATTATTTAACACAATATATCTAAAGTATCATTTCAACATGTAGTCAATATAAAGAATTATAAATGAGACAATTTATATTCATTTTCCTTACTAAAGTCTTCAAAATTTGGTGTGTATTTTACTGTTACAGCACATTACAAATTAGGTTAGCCACATTTCAAGTGCTCAATAGCCACATATGGCTACTGGCTATCGTATTGAGAAAGCAGATCTAGAAGGCATTTGGACACATGGGTCTTCTGCTCGGGTAAGAAATCTAGGATGGAGACATAGTTTTGGCAATCACCAGCATACAGAGAAGAGTTGAGGCCATGAGAGCAGATAAGATGACCCAAGGAAAATGAATAAAGTGAGAGAAAGGGGTCAAAGTCAGAACGTGAGTATGGAAGGGGGTAAAGGAAGATCATTTTAGAGCATGAAGCCCTAAAAAAGAGGGCAGGCTTTTATGATAAGCTGAATTAGAGGGTTCTGAGTAGCCAGGAAACTGAATGAAGTCATGGACATCTGAAAATAACAAGAGCTAACATTTATTTGGGGGATTGGTAGTTCAGTAGCAGAATTCTTGCCTTCCATGCGGGAGTCCAAGGTTCACTTACTGGCCAATGCACCTCAAGCGCAGCCACCAACCATCTGTCAGTGGAGGCTTGCTTGTGTGTTGCTATGATACTGAACAGGTTTCAGTGAAGCTTCCAGACTAAGATAGACTAGGAAGAAAGGCCTGGCAATCTACTTCCAAAAATCACCAATGAAAACCCCACGGATCACGATAATCCAAAACTGATCATGGGTATGGCGCAGGACAGGGCAGTGTTTCATTCAACTGTGCGAGGGGTTACCATGAGTCAGGGGCTGACCTGCTGGCACCTAACATTTATTTAAACTTTGTAAGTACCAGATAAGGAGCCCTAGTGGTGCACTGGTTAAAGCGCTCCGTTGCCAAACAAAAGGTTAGCGGTCTGAACTCACCAGCTGCTCTGTGGGAGAAAGATGTGTCAGTCTGCTTCCATAAAGGTTATAGCCTTGGAAACCCTAAGGGACAGTTCTACCCTGTCTTATAGGGTCGCTATGAGTTGGAATTGACTCAACGGCAATGGGTATGAGCAGGTACCAGATGTTGTACTACTCTGTGAGATTACTCTCTTAAAACATTACAACACTAAGAAGGGAATATTATTACTATTCCCACCTGACAGAATAGGAAACTTTAACTTAGCAAAGCAATTTCCAGCCCACGGTCATTAAATATGGCATGACTGAACTCCCGAGTCCACTACTTAACCACTATACTACAATATACTGGGAAAATGAGGAAGAGGATACCAAGAAGTTGGAAGATACCAAAGACAAGCTTAATGTGAATTTTGAAATCAGAACAAGGTTTTCGTTCTAACTTAACTACTTTGAAACCTCTGACATGTTAACTTCGTGGGGCTTTTGTTCAGTCATTTGTAAAATGATGCCCATACAGCACTCGGCACAAAGTGGCCCAATATTAGTATTATGTATGTAAGCTGACTGCCTAATAGTATTCAAAATTATTTTCGCTTGTTAAGTTCAACTCTTCCAAAAATCCATTCTGATTTCAAAAAGCAAAAGTTCAAAGATGTGTTTAACCTTAAACCAAAGACCTGTTGCCATCAAGTCAATTCTGACTCATGGCGATCCCATGTGTGTCAGAATAGAACTGTTCTCCATAGGGTTTTCAGTGGTTGATTTTTCAGAAGTAGATGGCCAAGTCTTCCCACCACCCCAGAACCCAAGGAGCCTCTGGTTAACAGCCAAATGAGTTAACCATTTGCATCACCTAGGGACTCCTGTTTCACTTTACTGTAATATATTTAAGCACACGTGGGTAGCTCCTAGTTATCTATATATATATAGTGTACAGTATAATTTTACGAAGTTGAAAAATGAAGGCCTAGATTTAATATATATATAGTATACAGATCCTTTGCAGTAACCTCAAACTTCCCTTGAATTATTAATTCCACAGAACTAAAATTCTTAATATCTGACCAAGCAAGGCACTAAGATTCCCTATTACCCTACCTATGATGTTTATCTAATTGCTTCTTCAATTCAGTTCACTTCAATATTCCATGCTCTCTCTCCCAGAAGCCAGTCTATTTTTTTCACTTCAATATTTCAGGCTCTCTCTCCCAGGAGCCAGTCTATTTGTAATAATAATCTACCAATCCTACTTCCATATATGCTTGGTTTTTTCAACTACGGTGAAAATAAAAACAAAGGTCTAATTAGCAGCCATCTTCAGCTATCAGAAATATCACATGATTAGCCAAGATTAAGTTGTTAAACTGGAGATGCTTCAGAGTCCAATGACTTCATAAATTTCTAAGAAAGTTAACTAAACAAGAGAAAGTACCATAGTGTACTTTCTGTCCAATTCAGCTAGTCACAGCACCTACACTTCCTTTTTAATGCTTATCACACTTGCCAACCTTCCCGAGCAAACCATAAGCTCAGGAGTACAGAGACCACGTCTACTATGGTCACCTCTCGGGACCAAACACAGTACACAAATATCTGAATTAATGAATAACCTTCCTTACTTTCACCTCCCCCAGTGCTCTATACTCCAAAATTACCTAATTCTCTTCCAACCCAATCAAAACTTCCATCTTCCAATACAGGTGATTTCAAGCAGATACGAGAAACAAATTTTTTTTTTAACAAATGAAAATCTCTCTAGAAGAAGGTCAAAGGCATTCCCATTTGTTAAAAAAGACTTTCAAAATCCAGATACACCTCCAGGTGGTGGAATTCTAAGAAGCATAACCTGCTGAAACAAAACAAAACAAAATTCAGTATAGAAGTGGTTCTTTGGGGGATCGACTTTAACGTCTAACTTTTCCTAGATGCTCCCCACAAAATTACCCCTTCCTACCATCCCAAATTATGGTGCTGGCAAAGAATATTGAATATAGTGTGGACTGCCAGAAGAATGAACAAATCTGTCTTGGAAGAAATACATCCAGAACGCTCCTTAGAAGCAAGGATGGCGAGACTTCGTCTCACGCACTTTGGACATGTTATCAGGAGGGTCCAGTCCCTGGGGAAGAACACTATGTTTGGTAAAGTAGAGGGTCAGTGAAAAAGAGGAAAATCCCCAGCAAGATGGACTGACCCAGTGGCTGCAACAAAGGGCTCAAACATAGCAACGATTGAGAGGATGGCCCATAGGACTGGACAGTGTTTCATTATGTTGTACGTAGAGTTGCTATGAGTCGGAACTGACTCCACAGCACCTAACAACCACCACCATCCTAAAGAGGCCTCAGTCATGCTTTTCACAGATCTACCTCTTTTCTTCCATCCCCTCATACCCTAACAGCTTCTACAACAGTATATTGGAGACTGCTTAAAAAATAGTTCTAAGTCAAAAAAATTTTAACTTGGGGATTTGCCCATGTAAATCACAAAA